TCTTACACCTGCTTAGTAGCTGCCCGCTGTCCTCTTACACCCACCTCTGTTTTAGGTTCTGTGTAAGACAGACCAGCAGACTCCTCGGCATGGCAAGAAATTGAATAAGGGCAGAGGCAGCTGGGGACCAGGGCAGGGCAGACGAGTTACACTTGTGCATGTTACTAGAAGAAATGTGTCGTGCTGTGGTCAAGGAGAATACCACCTTAGCAACATTCCCATTTGTAATTAGGCAGGATAAATTTTATTCTAGTCCTTTTGTAATAAAATAATCATTTGGAAACTCTTAGGTTCATGGCACAAGGTATTGAGTATAAAGCTTGTGGAAGTGGTTTTCTTCCTCGCATCAAAGAATTTTGCCTGTTTTGGTAACTTATATAGGATTGGAGAATCCCTACATTTTAGCACCTGATGCCATAACCATTTCCTCTACTGCTACTTTTTCTCCTCCTCCTCCTCCTTTTCCTCTTCCTCCTCTTCCTCCTCCTCCTCTTCCTCCTCCTCCTGCTGCTCCTCCCCTTCCCCCTTCCCATTTTCCTCTTCTTCCTCTTCCTCCTCCTCCTGTCCTCCTCCTGTTCCTCCTCCTCCTAAAGGAATTGCTTTTTAATTTTTTTATTTTAAAAAATAAAAAAAAATTAAAAACTACAGAATTTCAAAACAAGATGATGGGAAATCAAAGTGGTTGTTATATTGCATATTGTTTTCTTCAAAGTAGTTGTTCAGATGACCAGATACAAGCATGCAAAATTAGTACAAAAAATGAAGCATTAACTGTTCCTTTCAGTAAATCCATAGGAAGTAGTCATACGGTTATCCTAGCTGTCTTTAGCAGAAGCAGTGAGGCTCCTGAGCGGGAGCTGCTGGACGTGGGCTCCTCTGGCTGCCATCCCTTCGCATCACGACAGCAGCTCTGAACCCCAGTGAGGGGAGGAAGGAGGCATCCGAGGCAAGGGTCTGGCCGATTCCAAGGGAGTGCATCCTCCCAGCACGCGGCTCAGAGCCGGCATCAGGCGGGCTCCCTCTGTGACCTTGGGCACTGGACCACTCTGAGCATCGCTGAGGTCCTTTCCATTTGCAGAGTTTTTCAGGTCATAATTCTTCATTTAGAATAGGCAAGTCCTAGTTTACCATAATCCTTGTTTATATTTGTCTAGGGGTATGGCTTAATATATCAAATTTGAAAAGAAAATCTTTGCAATATAGCTATATTTCCTAAAATTTGAAATTAAAAAGGTGTGGGATGGGAGAGTAGAGGGTTCTACACTGAGAGCTAGACTGTAATGCCAGTAACTGCACAACAAATGAAAATGATACTCTTTTAAAATTCCAACCAAATGAGGTAATTTTGTATTGCTTTTTTCTATTTAAGAGAAAATAACACAAGCCTGAAAAGCAGTAAATATGTAAAGAGAATATTTGTCAACTGCTGTTGGAAGATCTGACCTAGGTCACACATAAATCTCTCCGACAAGAGCTGCAGGGCAAGCCATAATTTCAGAGAGCAAAAGAGAAAATGAAAGCTACACGGGTGTCTTCTCTAAGTTCTGTAGGTGGATCTATTTTAGTTTTCTGATTATGCCTCCGAATGTAATGTAAAGGGGCTGCTAGCAAGGACTATCTTACCATTGTGTAAAAGGGCCCCTAAGACGGGGAAGCATAAGACAAAGGCTCCACATTGTTTTTTATTGCCAACACCATTGAACAAATGGTTGAGAACCCACAAGCAAACTTTTTTGCAATGACGATTTCCCTTCTGGAATCATGTTTAAGGCACGTTAGGTATAGAAGCTTCTAAAGGGCCTACTGTACAGTCTTTGCAAAGAAATAGACATTAGTACAGTAACAGAAAGGCCAAGCTGGTGTTCATGGCTGCCTTTCTTGAAACCCTTCTTCCCTACTGGAACACAGCATAACTCTCCTGTTAGTGTGGCTTTAAATCTTGTCTCTAACAGCTGATAAAAAGGAAGAAAAAAAAAAAAAACCTGTCTCTAGAAAAGGGAAAAGGTTCATCTCATTAATGTATCAAGCACTACTTGTTCTAGAAACTAATTAGCTAGGTGTACATCTGGAGCAATTATTATTCTGTTCATTACCCCAAAGTACTAGTTAGACATAGAAACCACTCCGTGCAAGCCAAAGGTACAAGCAAGCGTGTGAACGTGGACAAGGTTGTGATGAGCAACAGCATTTCCTGTGTCGGGAGGTGCAGGCCGTACGCAGCCCTGAGCACGCTACTGTGTTGCTCCAGCCTCTGTCTCACAGCCAGCATTTGGAAGGCAGGCCCAGAATAAAGACCGGCATTCAGGGCGCTAACATTTTATCCTGAGTCCCCTTAGTGCTCCTGTTAATGTGCTATAAAACTGGGGCTCCCCTTTTTCATGAACTGTGTGCAGCAGCAGCAGAAGCAAGGACTGGAGGTTGACTTTGTCTGGATCTGTTTTATGGTTGCTGGCTGCACCCGTACAGTAACGCGATCTTGAAAAAGGTAAACAACAAAGAGTTTAGCTGTGAAAAATATGCCTAATATAAATACAGTCGAGAGCATGGCAGTTCAGAATTCAAAAAATATGACTGTGGCATTAAATTTTCTGGTGGAATTAACAGAGGAACAGAACACAGCCTTTAAGGCAATATATCTGAGGCAAGGAAAGGAGCTCATACATCTAACTCTGTGGTCTGCGTGGCACCCATATGAAGAAGAGCACAGTCGCTTTATTTAATTGAGAAAATGAATCAATTACAATGATGTTGCATCATCAGATTCTTGTGAAATAGAAGATATAAGTCACAGCATTGTGTAACAGTGTTAAAAAGTAATTGAGTATCTTAAGCATTTTGAATCAATTTCGGGTGCTGGCACTGCTACCTCAATACAAAATTTATGAAGATGGTCACATGTAATATGTTGCTATCTAATAAAGCCTGGTAACAACATCTCTCTTTAAAACCCACACAAAACAGTATAGTTTTAAGGTCATAAAAAGCACTGTGATATTGCTGTATCTTTCTTATAGTGAAGAGCAAATGTTAAAATAGTACCATTTCAAGTTATCCTGAAGTTATTCCGCTCTTAACCCTCAGAAGAGAGTGTAGACCTGCTGTGAGATCCTCGGTTTCCATCTCAGTTCAGTCGATTCACACACCTGATAGTACTGGGGAACAGTGCCTCGGAATCCATTCCTAAAGTTATTTCCAAACATCTCTTACAACTTCTGCCACACATTTTCCTCAGAGAATGTTATAAATCTCCCTGGCTCTTGGAAATTTGGGAAAATACACTCTTTGATGTCAAAGACGGACTTCTAGTTCTCCTGTTAAAGAAGATACATCTTAAGATAGGGGCGGGGGAGTGTTCACATTTGCTTAAAAACAAAGGAATGAATGAGTGAAAACAAACACCATAAGTGTCTCATTTCATAGGAGAAGTTACCTGGGCTTCTCAAGGCCTTTATAAAACTATTTTGGCTTGTTGCTAAATCTCTTCACCACTCTGAGATGGTAGTGAACAGCCGTCTCCCCACATGGTACAAATCGTCCCCTGTGGTGCCTTATCCAGAAGACCCGTTGACTGCAGGAGCCAGGACATTGAGGACAGCATACAGCAGGGTCAGTGTTGACCTGGAGCCAGGCAACCAGGGACAGAGGTTCTGGGAGTGGTGGCTAGGGAGGAGACTATGAGCGGGCAGAGGGGACAGTTGGGATGCTCCATGGGAAGGCATTTTGAAAATGTCCAAGCACTAGGTGAAAGGGTTTGCCTCTTGCCACACAGATGTAAAAGAAATGCTCAAGCATCTTGTGTCAAATCCTATTGTTCTAAGCGTGGTGCTGATCGTGTGAGGTGTGCTCAGATGCTGGAGGGAAAGGCGCACTGGAGGAGCCCCCGAGCCACCATGCCCAGCCCTGCCCTCCCCATCCTCTGAGATGCCCAGTGTTGCTACCATGAAATACAAAGATCATCCCCAAATACCTCTGGGTGGTTGTGCAGGTCAGACCATAGTGTATATATGGGAAAAAACTTGTAAATGAGCCATTAAAAATATAAAAGGGACTAGTACAAGTTTCCTTATGTTTTATCAGCTGATTGAAGCTCATGTGTCCCAGAAAATAACTGGCCCATGAATAGTGATACTCAGTTCCTGAAGATTTCCTACATAGAACATTAAGTAATGGAGATTCCATCTTCACTGAATGTGTAATAACTGTAGGCATTTGGGGGAAGGATTAGAGTATTCAATATTTTAATTACTATATTGATGATTTATTAATCTTGTCACATTTTGGTAATTTTCTAAGAGAAATGGGCTCTCAGTGGTGGAGGTGAAGAGCCTGCCCTCAGCGAGTCGATTAGGAACAGACACTCTGGTCTCTGCTTCCACCCACTGAAAAAAAGTATCAAACTTGCATGAATTTCATTTTCCCAGAGAGCCTCGCTATCCTGGAAATGAGTTGAAGGTACTTGGAAAAAGGTGGAGTTTTTTGCCCCACTCCCAAGTTAGAGGCAAATACTTCAACCACATAATTAAAGTTTTCCTCACAAAATAGAGGGTTGTGAGCACACACTGGCAGGAATCCAAAATTCTAATTTCTGACTATGATTTAATTTCAATTTTAAATAAATCGGTTTTTAATTTAAAAAGAGTGAGCTTCATAACATTAGCAATGATTGCAACATTAAGCCCAGTGTTCACAATCTAGCAATATAAAACATTATTTATATCTGAATCGTAAACAGCCTTCTGAAATGGATTATGGTTTTTCTCCCTATTCTAATACAACCTGGAGGGTACTAAAAAGTGTTGTGTGAAATTAACATTCTGCTGACTTTCGCCTATAAATGAGAAGCGAGCTATTAACATTTGTGTATTTTCATTATGTAAATTGTGTTAACACATGCCCACAGATTGCCACCAGCAATGCAATAATTTTCTCTCAGTGATCATAATGTGTCCAAGTGAGTCATTTTGATTATGACATGCTAATTACATATTGCCTTTTTTCAGATTCAGAAAAACCAGGGATCTTTAATGGTAAGCTTTATGAGTTCAGAAAAAAATTCACTTTTCTTTTTCCTGATGGCTGCTTCCTTTGCATGCTTGAATGCCTTGTTTTAAACTTAGCAAATTGCATTTTGAAGAAAATGCAAACCTTTAACTGCCTGTATTAGATTAGGTACCATTAGAAATAATAGAACATCCTGAGCATCGTGTTTTTATAAGAGTTTGCTGTTGTTGATTAATCTTGCTGTATTTTATTGCATTAATGATTTTTCTTTCCACTCCACTGTAAAGACATTGCATGGAGGCTAATACTTTTTCCTCTCTTCTTCTCCGTTGCAGCCTCTCCAGCTTCTGCAGTGCATTGTTGATGAGGTGAGGCGGCGTCTTATGTGCTTTCACTCCTAAAGTCATTCCTAATGGTGTGGAAAGCTTATATTTTGTTTCCTAATGAAGCACAATGCCCAACATCCTCGGAGCGAGTTGTGTTGTATGCTTTGAGCTGTGTTACGTGAACTGGCCTTGTCCTGAATCCTGCTCGTCTGGCTCTAGCCAAGAATCCTTGCAAAGACAAACTGTCCCATAGGCTGGTCCCCAGGGGTGTTGCAGGCCCTAAAGACAAAACATGGTAATATTAATTGTTCCTCTCCGCAGCCAGATGGGAATGGAGCTGGGAATTAAAGCAGAATCATTTTTTTTTCCTAACAGATATTTACAGTCATTCAGTAGGCAAGGTCAGAGTTGAACCCCAAACATAAGCTGCATAAAATTTGCCTTCTTTGCTATATTTACTTAGAGTATAGCAGAGTGAAAAAAGGGTTCAAAAGCTCTACATCAACAGTTCAGTGTTGATTTCCTAATTAAGCATTTCCTTGAAACTATCTCGTTAACCTCTAGTGTGTTCTAGTACGCTAACAACTAGTATTCTCACAGTTTAAGTTACCTTACCTTGGTCACCCGTACTCATCAAGTCCATTGTCCTTTGCCTTTCTGGAGTTAATCTACCTTCATTTCTTTCTTAACTTTTTCTATTTCTCACTCTGAATTTAAATTCCTTTCTTCTGTACACTAGCTGCCTTTTAGTATACAAGGCTCTCAATTAAGATGCGTTCACAGTTTTTTAAAACTGTGTTTATGTGGATTTGGGCTTGCCTACTAGCAATGTTTATTTTTGGATTTTAATTTTATAATATTTAGAACACTTGTAAATAGAGAGGGAAGGCGATAAATGATTCAGATAGGAAAGTTTGAAAGAAAAAACAACAAACCGTAATTCATAGTTATTCCTCTCAATTAAACATCTGCATAACCAGTTATGAGATTTGGGAGAAAAAATAAAAATCCTCCTAGGAAAAAACAAACACACACACATATCGCACTAGCACTAAGAATGGGCCAGCATCCTTAATAGTTGCATCCGTCAGTCCATATATCCCCTGCAAGCCATAAACCACTTTGGTGCAGACATGAAGGCATCGTCCTGAAACAAATGGAGACTCCATTAGCTCAGATATCAGACGGGCCTCCTGGATCGAATAGCTCATCAATATCTTCTGTCATCTTAGATTCCAAAAGCATCCTATCCCCATCAGACTCCTCCTAATTAAACCAGTTTTCCTGGGGTCCCAGTCCAGTTTTGGTTGGGAAAGCACTCAGGGAAACTTGGCCTACCCAGTGAAATACATAGTGTGCTGTGTTTCTGGGCTCTGCTGTCGTTTGGGGAGCTCCAGCGGATCCCAACATTCAGGTGTAGATAGTCCTCACCCACAACATACATGTTGCTGGAGAGCTCATGGGAAGGTTCCCTGAATTAAAGTAGCAGTGTTGCTATCAGTTTGAAATGTTTTGGGTCAGCGAGATAGCTCAGTGGACTAAAGTGCCTGCTTAGGCAAGCACGGGACCGTGGTTCAATCCCCGGCACCACATGCCACACTGGCCCCATCCCCAGGGCTGGCTGAGCTGGCCACAAAAAATAAAAATAAATAAGTAAAATGTTTTTCTTAACTGGGGCGAAATCAGACTATCTAGCATTCAGTAAAGGGCAACAAAGTGTCACTTACATGCTATTCTTTTTCCTCCATAGCATTTCTTCTTTAGTTAAGAAAAAAAGTAACTTAGTACTTCCACTCACTCCCAAATAATATTAAAATACCTTCCTTTGAAGGTTGGGGAAATTGACATTGTCTTTACTAAAACCAAGTTGATCTTGGGATTGCGCTGATGTTCTGCAATAACAGTGTTAGGAAAGGATCCGCCCAGTGACTTGCTTTAGGCAAGGTCAGTCTTGGCCTTGAAGGGGTGGGGGCCCTACCTTTCCTGTGCTTGGCCTCTGTGGGAGCAGATTCCCCAGGGCTGGGAGAGCATGTTCCCAGCAGAGTGGTTGGAGGACTAACACAAAACTACCTACCGTTTTTGTTAAAAGTGTCAAATCCTGGCTCCAGGTTCCTGAATTTAGACATTCTGGGGATGGTACCAGCAATCAACATGCTTCCTAGGTAACTCTGAATATTAACATCTGAGAACTTCTGCAGTGCCTATTCAGGTCCCATGAGGCAGTTAGCTATCTTTCTTCATTTGCATCTGACTTGAAGGGCTTCTATTCATGAATGAATATAACCAGCCAGGAGCTTTACTGTTCTACTCATGGGGTAGGAACATCTGATGCTAACATATTGTTTCCTGATCAAGTCAGATCAAAAAGGAGCCTAATTCAAGCAAGATAGGGAGCTGTGGAATCATGTACAAAATAGTTCCAGCAAAACCCAGTGTAGAGGCTGGGGAGATAGCTCAGTAGAATAAGCACTTGCCTGGCAAGCGCAAGGGCCTGAGTTCAATGCCCGTTGTGCCAAAAAAAAAAACAGTGTAACATTTTATTATTGCAAGGATTCAGCTTAACTTTCTGTCTTGACCTGGCAAAGAGTAAAATTGGAAAACCTGATGAATATAGGCAAGACTCAGTTCCCAAATGGTCAGAGGTAAATATTAGAGTTGGTCTGAGAGTCAGGGGTCCGGTGGTGGGGCAGAGCCAGAGCTGGCCACCAGGTGTCCAAACAGAAAACACCAAAACCAAACAAGAACCATGGCCATGACACTTGGACCACAGATCAGCACTGGAAGGTCTCTTAGTCACTGGGACAAAGTACCTGACACCTGCAGCTGACGTGGGCTTACAGTTTCAGTCTGAGGCCAGCTGTCTCAAAGGCAGAAGCAGGTGGCAGAGGGGCCTGGTGAAGGAATGGTACTCAGCCTGTGATGGCCTGGAGGTGGAGAGAAGGGAGGACCTGGAGACAAGAACACACCCTCCCAGGTCACACCCCCAGGGACCCACCTCCAACCAGGCCCCACCCAGTAACACATAGCTCACTCAGCCTTGGAATCTCCGTGGCTGGGTCCCCTGCTGAGCATAGGGCCCTCCGCTCAGCCACCTTCCACACAGGGAACTTTTGGGGGGCCTTTTAAATCTGAGCAATTACACAATGTAATAGAGTTCTGTTCCAGTCAGAAACCTAGCCAGCCCAAGTGAATTTTGGTGGTAAAGTTTATCTGACTTGGGGCCGGATAGCTCAGGATGTGAGTGATGTCTTCAAGATGATGTTAGTGCTTGAGAGTTGCTTCTCTCACCAGAACTTACCCTAAGGCCCTTGTATGGAGATGGAAATGTGTCCCAGTGGTGTTTTGCCCTGAAACTCAGAAAGTTCTCTGACTTCTTGAACTTCATAGAGCCATTTTCCCCAGGCTGGACGCCCCTCCCAGGCTGGCCACTCCACTTGGTGATTGTCCTGGTCCCTTTCTTAGGAGGAACCTGAGCTGTGGAGCCCTCCTCTTTCTTATCAGTGACTGCCTCCCTCCCGCCCCAAGACCCAACCAGAGTTGTGCTTCTGAGGGTGACCCCAGCAGCACTAAAAGAAAGTATTCAGTGAGATCAGATGCCCAAGGGGCGAGTGGAAGGTCAGGCCGGCTTGTCTAAAGAGAGATGCTGAGGCTCAGACCTTTCTGTAATGAAGGGAAATGACGGGTTCGTGTTCATTCTGTGCACAGTCATCAGTCTGGTAGTCCCCACTCTGTACTCACCTGAGCTGAGCAGGCTGTGGTCAGGACAGCTCCAAACCTCATGAGAACTAGGAAGAGGAATTACTGTTCCCATCCTGGGCCAGCCCTAACACACTCAGAAGCCCCCAGCCACCTGGCAGTGCAGCGGGAGGGGCACAGCAGTAATGCATGGGCCACCAGGTTCCAGGCTGTCAGTGGGCTGAATTGCTGAGGACCTGACTAATAGGAGTAGGGACCACGTCCCGAGTCTCCCCTGAGTGGCCCACAGCTATAGAAGGGAGGAGAACATGGCAATGAGTAAGTGTCCTTCCGTGTTCAGTGTGGGCTGAGTAACGTGGAACCTAGGACTGACACTTACTTTTTTCCTTTCCTGAGTTCAGAAAGGAAAGATGTAAATATCAGGAAGAAGCACTTGAAACTATCTTTTTTTTTGAATTGTTGATTTTTTTTTTTCAAAATTTGAAACTATCTTGTGAATCATTTTTGAGTTCACAGATGTGTTTCAGAATGTTTTGGTTGTCTAAAATATGACAACCAGAAAAACGGGTTATTACTCTGAGTAGGTATATGTTTTAGCCATAGCTAAAAAATGAATTCCCGTCTAGCATCTGTAGGTGCTTAACAGAACAAGCAACAGATCTCTTATTTACGTTCTATTTGTTCATTTTACCAATGAAAAGTGAGTTTATATAAGTGATGTCTTACGCCTGATCTGAAGTAGCTTCTCTGTGAGAATGTTGGTTTCTTAGGAGTACAAGATTTGTAAGGTACGAAAGCGCTCAGGGAATGGCACAGACTTTTCAGGAGTTCACAGCCTACATGTGGACTAGGTGTGCAGGTAAACAGTGGCCACAAGATGAGGGAGCTGGGGATACAGCAAGGTCCTGACTTTGATTCCCGGTACCCAAAAAAAAAAAAAAAAAAAAAAAAAAACCATGGCAGTGAAGAACTCTGAGATTTGTTGGCACCCCGTGCTGTGGCATGAAGAAGGAGTTGGTCTTGGGTATGTTGTAGTGCAGTGCTCTCCCTGCCCTGCAGAAGGGGTCGCCTCCTCTGCTTCCTGGAGGGCTTTGAAGTATGGTGAGCACAGAAGTAGAACTTTGACCGGGGACCAAGGCAAAGGCAGTGTAGGGACCCGGATAGACCGCTGACCAGTGAACCGAGAGTGCAGCTTGGGGTAGCTAACATAAATAATCAATAACAGAAAGAAACTTGGGAAATTCACAAATATGTGGAAACAGCACATTCCTAAATAAACAGTGGGACAAAAACAAAACAAGAAATTAAAAAATGCCTCAGGTTGAACAAAAGTAAAGGTACAGGTA